CTACCGACTGCGCCATTTACGTGTGGGTCAATACAAAAAGCCTTTTTAAAAAAGGTCTTTATTAGAAGCAGGATACAAATGAACTGGTTTCGCTTTGCAATTGTAACCTCGGTACATGTTCTTATCTTTGCTTAGTGTTTAATTAATTATTGCTTACAATTTAAGTTGCAAGAATGTAACTCACTTGTACAATCCTTCACCAACAAGTAATTTTCGAGAAAAAATATGTGATTTAAAAAAAGTGAAACAGCTTTATACGAGAACTCCTTTATTTAGAGGTTGTGTAACACCATCCGAAATGACTAAACACTAAATGAAAAAACCTATACATTTAAGTCTAAAAAAAAAACGAATTTCAATTTTACTGCAACCAGAATGATTTCCAAATTTAAACAGCCATCTGATAAATAAACCGAAATTACATGATTTCACGGGTACATTGTTCCAAATGAACATAAACACCTATGTTACTACGACACAACTGGCAGTAAGTGTGCTATGAAAACCGCTTGTAAAACTAAGAAAATATTAAAGTAATGATTATACGAAAACAGCTTAAGCTCGTTCACCACGGATTCGGCGGGCCAACTGTATGTCTTTCGGCATAATGGTTACTCGCTTGGCGTGGATTGCACACAAGTTGGTGTCTTCAAACAAACCTACCAAGTAAGCTTCGCTGGCTTCCTGAAATGAAAATAATAGTTCATTTACTACACTCAGCAATTACTTCAAGCCGATATTTCTATCAAATCGTTATATTTATATTGGCAACATTCAGTCTATGCAAGCGGTATTGAGACTTGCTGTACCTGCCACTGAAACTGATCCATTGCTCAAATTTTATTCGGGTAATTTAAGTTTCGTTTGCGACCAGCGTCACACCATTAGTACTTTGAATTTTAAACAATATTGAGTGTATTCTTCTCTTTTTCCTTTGGTGCTTTTAACGAGACAAATAATATATTCTGGTTGAGCAGTTGATTGGTTCAAGCAGTTGATTGAAACGATGGATTTTGAGAAAACGTTACCCGAGTTTTTATTCGTTTTATTTCGGAATATATCAATTCTTTTAGTGATCCCCATGTAATACATACTGCTGACTGTTTTAGAAGATTAAAATTGCATTTGATTATGTAAATTTAAAATTTTATACTAGCAGTGCGATAACATTTATTGGCTATAAAAAACTGGCTAAATTGCAAAGATAATTTGCATTGTTATTGAAATGCCTTATATGAACTATATATGAACATTATTCACGATGTGAAGTCATGCACAAGACAGTACGTACTATCTGAAATAAAAAATCCACAAAATACGGGAATGTGACAGAACAAGCGCCAATATTTAACCAAAATAAAAGTTGCATACAAAAAAGTCATTTATTCAATCTAGTTGTTCCGTTTCTTTGAAGGTTGAAAAAGAACTGCTTTTGAAGCAAACGCAATGCATTCAGTCGGGAAAAACCTGGTCTCAACTGCATATGATGTCTAAGTACTTACGAACATAATCAGGTTCTCAATGAAAGCATTATATTTCCCAATTAACTATTGTAAGGAGTTACGATATTTTTATGTGGGAAAGTACCGACGCGTACATTCGCTCAATGCAATTTGTCAAAGTATGCTGTAAATAATTTTAACAGGCCTTAAAAGCGAAGTCTGAATATTTCTTAATGCGGCAGGATAAACGATATCGATATCTGACAAAAATAACAAACGATTCATTCAGTGAACTTACGCTTATATAGGTACTTACAAGATGTTTTCAATCCATATTTCAACCAAAAAAAATCAAGCTAAACTAGCCCGGTAAGCTCGTGCCCACTTTCCTCCAAAAAAAGCGCTGTAGTACTTTTTAGTAGATGTAGAAACATCTTAATTACCTTACCATGGTGCTACTTTACTACAACGCTAAGTGGCTAATAATGTTTTTAGCAAAAATTTCGTTGCAATGAGTCTTAAAGCTCTAATGATTGTTATCATAACATGTTATAGACAGAGTCAGATAACAAAGCTATTCAGTCAGGACCGCAGCTCATTGTATAAAATGCAACTCCCTGCATATTTTAATTAAAAAATATAGCATTTTAGATTCTTCTTTGGAAAAAATAACCCACCGTGGATGAAATTGCGGTTCCTATGCGATTTATTTGAACTTATTGTCTCATGCTCCAATAACACTAATAACACATTTAAGCGCAGTTTAGCAACAATGTGCTTAGTTTTGGTGAAATATGGACAATTTCCTGTACATTCTGTTTCTTCGCTGATTGTGTTCTTTGTGAGGTGGGTACGATACAAGGGGTTTTCAAACCAACTGCTTAATTCTAAGCGTAATTTCAATAAAAGAAACAATATTAGAATTCCCTCAACCGTAAATGGCGTCAGGTCTTTTGGGATACAGGGGGCTGAAATTAGTAAAACTGTTTTTGTAATACATAGTATGTGAAATTCATTCAAAACGAGAAAACCTATAACTGATTTCCCTCATTAGCATATTGAGACTTGTTCCTGCATGTGCATGAACGATTTAACGATGATGCCGAATATGATAATTAATTTCAATCATTTTAGCCCACGTGCACTGACCAAATTTAATAAGTCAGAAATATTCATTTACCCCATTTTGTAAGAGGACAAATATTAAATGCTATTGATTAGTGTATCTATGACGATTTCCAAATTAGTTTTAGGAGAGTACCTATTTAAAGTAGATTTTTAGAGATGTTTGGTAGAATGTGGATATGGCCAACGATATGTTAGTTTTCACTAAATAACACTCCTAGCCTATATACTAACCTGTAGGGCCCCAATAGCAGCCGACTGGAACCGAAGATCAGTTTTGAAATCTTGTGCAATTTCTCTCACCAATCGTTGGAAGGGTAATTTTCGGATGAGCAATTCGGTGGATTTTTGGTATCTTCTGATTTCTCGTAGAGCGACCGTACCAGGACGGTAACGATGGGGCTTCTTCACTCCTCCTGTTGAGGGTGCTGATTTCCTGGCGGCTTTGGTGGCCAGTTGTTTACGGGGAGCTTTTCCTCCCGTTGATTTACGGGCAGTTTGCTTGGTACGAGCCATTGTTTATAGTACTAAAAAATAAACACGTTTTACTGTTATGTCAATTTGGCGCCAAAACAGTATATTTAATCTTAAAAGGACAAACATGTGTTTTACTTAGTACTTCTATGCACATCGTTCAAGTAAGAACAATTCCTGACTGGAATTATTAGTAATTTACATTTGCACAAGAATACAAACAAGATGGCCGCTCTGAACCATTAGAATTAATCTGAATGCAAACAAATGCATGCAAGAATTGCACCAAACTGTCGTATAAACACGATGAGCATCATTTGGGAGGTTTAGTCTAATAATAAAACACTGTTAAGTTGATTACAAATAAACTTACCGCGTATTTTTTATAAAATCGACTCTCAGCAATATTACACTACGCACAAGAACACGGCGTACCTGGAATTGATCGGAAAACAAAGTGACGCCTAGCAACGGCAGTTTATTGGCGGCATAGTGAGACTAAACGAGGTGGGGATAATGGCGCCAAATTTGAAAAAAAAATTACTAAATTCATTATATTTGTCATATTATTAGTTGTTTTCCTATTCTTCTATCTTTTTGTAATTCATTTCAGCGTCAAACATCTTGTGCGACAAGTAAACTCAAGTTATCTATAAATAACGAAACACTGAAATCAGCGATTTTATTCAATATGTTTATTTTCATATTTGCTGAAACAAGGTAAATATTTGCGGCATAATTCAGATCAAATAAACTATTAGATGTTGATTTTCGGGTTTGATTGGATCTGTTGTTTTTAAATAAAACTAGTAAAAAAACTAAAATATTTATATTTGTAGAGGAAATTATTATAAAATAAGCGATGAAGGTACATATATATTATGAATTATGTTCTTAATTTTAAATCTACATATCGAAAAAACCACATTTTACAGTAGAGAATAACACTTTATTTAAAAATACTTTTAGAATTACATATTATATTCACATCTACGTATTGCCAAAAAGTCTCTAAAATATTTTTACGATATAATATACTTGATCGTTTGTACTTATTTTATAAAATTGTTTCATTAACATAAAACTGTAAATTCACATAGTCTGGTGGAAACTGAAATTTCGAAAATAGTATTCAACAGTTCCAAATGAAAATATTCGATTGGTACGTGAAACGGTAATAGCAGCAGCTCCATAAAAATTACTATTGTTGGCAAGTAATATGTTACGAATATAACGTGTCATAAATGCATGTTTTCTGTTACATATAGCAAATCATCTGATTAGTTGAGAATCAGTAAACTTACGACTAACTCGTTTGAACTGAGCCCCAATTTGGTGACATTCAATAGTAGAAAATATGGAATTAAACATTTACAATCAAAAAGGTAATATTGAAAACACACGATAGGTACAAGTATTACATTTATATTAAGAGCAATATAAATTACCATGTAATGCTAAAGTGTTATGCGCTAGATCAAACTAGTTAAATCAAATTGGGTTTGGCCGTGTGAAAATCTGGTTGTCAAGTCAAAAAAATACAACTGCAAATTGTCAATTAACGAATATAATGAATAATTCGCAAATTTACTTTAATAGGCCTGCAAATAATTGCTAATACCTACATGTTTAAAACAGTACTATATGCCTACTAGAAGTATGCCACAATTTAAATCGATGATGAAAAGCTATCCTAATTATTACACAGTTCAATATCAAAAGCAAATTAAAAAATAATACAGAAAATTGTCATTTGCTTTGCGCATGAGAATCTTGTCAGAAGATGTCAAAATATGCAGAGCTTCCAATATTGACAGGACTCACCCTGTAAATGTACATATTATAGTGAAACTTTTTATTGAGATTTTAATGTAAGTTTCTTAATGTTCAAACTAAACAGCGTTTCATTTACAATTTGCATGAAGCAGGCATGACGTAATAATTGAATTCCTTATCTCTAAATCACATAAAACAGTCTTGGTAAAAATATAAAATCTCATCAAAAAATTTCACATACATTCACTGAATACACATTTATTTCAGTTTTACATACACTGTTTGAACGGAATAAAATCAAATTTGCACTGCGTCAGAAAAAGCAAAAAATTGTTTAACAACTATATCACACATAATCACTCTATACAAGGTGGCAAATGACAAAATAGACAATGGAAAATCAATCACTTTGGTGAACTATATTGCTGTACCAATTTAAAGATCCATTAAATTAATAAACAGAAAATCGATATTCTGATTAATTTACTTAAATTATTTGAAACCAGAAGCGTTTGAAATTGGATTAAGAAACACATTTGCCTGGATATCGGAATACCTGAATGCAGCCCGCCGGTGAATTTTTTTTTGCCCGCTGTTTTTCGCTCCGAGAAACGGTGAGATTGGCGCTAGCCAATCAAACAAACCTTTTGTAATGAAGTGTGTTTGTAATACAAGGGAATCTATAACTAGTCGACTTTTTAAATGTATAACTTAATCCATCAGAATTAATTCACTTGAATAGAATCCTGATTCCAAATTCAAACACTCTAGAAAAACATACATGAGAAAAATAAGAACCCATAGCTATTCTATATATGTTTCGGTGCAGCAATAAAGCAACAATAGATTATCAAATTAAAAAATAGCAAAATTCTAATGACTGTATTAAAGGAAATATATTGATACATGTCAATTTACTCTTAAAGTGAAAATGTTCGCTTAATTTAAATAATATTTTCATACCGTAAATTGGTAAATTGGAAATTCTATTTTCTTAATCTAGTATGGGGATTATGTAACTTTCTTAATTGAGATAACTAAGCAAGAAATCAAAATTTTTCTTCAAGGATAATATGTGGCAAACAAGAGAAGATACTACTTATTGGATTTTCAAAATAAGTAACTACAGTGATGTCACTCTATTATATCAATTTATACAATACTATAGAAATTATAAAGACTGTAACTATGAATAAAATTTGTTAAATTGTAAGATATAATACTGTAAGTTACCCTTATTGTACTTGAGTTGATGTTATAAATGCTAATTCAAAGAAACCAAAGGATAACCTACAGCAAAGTCCTTACAAGCCTAATATCCGCATATTCACATATTTGTCACCAGGTTATTTGGTGTTTGACAGTATGGGCATTGAGACTGTGTATTCGCGCATGTATCACATAATACGAAGTGATTGCAATTCAAAGTAACAGTCCTATTTCTTTCTTCGCATACCATACACTTAGATGCTGTTTCCCTATATAAGACTTTTTCAATTTCCTCAAGATCTTGCCTTATTTGCGAATGTATGGATTTCAAAACACTAAGTGATAATTTACTCAACTCTGATACTTTAGTTATTCGACGTATGTGGGGACCATCTTGCAATTGCTCACACTCTTGTTTAAGGGATGTGTACTGAGTTAGTGTTTCTTGAAGCTTATTCTCTAATTGTTTAGCTTTGCGGTTTGCATCTTCACTTTCGCGCTTCCAAGCATCGCAAGCCGTTCTGGCTTGCTGAAGTCTCTCTTCCCAATTATTTAGTTGTAATCTTGCTTGCGTTAGTTCATCTCTTAATCTGAAAAGCCAAATTGGTTGACTTGAAGCATGATCTGACTAACCAAATTTACGCTGGCTATAAACTTCGAGCCAAAAACGACAAAAACTAAAGTAAATGGGGAAACATTATACGACGGTTTAGCGATTGTTCCGAACCGATGCATTAAATTCGTTACATTTATTTAATAATTCAATTTGAGGTGGACCAAAAAATCCTCAAATAATATCTAACAGGCGTCATGACATCAAGGATGAAATTCATCCTTAAGTAGGTGCAAGTTAATGAGAAAATGTTTGTCGCTTTACAACATTTTCAAGCTATTATTTCATTAATATTAACTGTCTCTTTTATTGCTTTTTAGAGATAACTTTCTTAAATAAACTGAGATTAGTAACAGTAATCCGTTTGAAGCTTAGCAGAATACTTCTCCTGAAAAATACGAACTTAGCAGAAATTTAAAGGCCGAGAACTTACGTATTCCAAATTAAAAATTAACAAAACGTTTTAGTTTCAAAAAACCCTAAAAAATGAGACATGTGAAGTTCGATTTTTTACTAAAAATCCAACGAGGAAATTGCAAAAAACCGAGCTAAGTCTTCAAACAACAAACACAAATGTAGCCCCACTTGAGACATTATAAAAATGCATTAAATCATCATTAAAAATAAACTTACCTTGCAACTTCCATATTATTATTCATGCTTGGGGATATACTAAAATTATTGTGATTCCTAGAACTGGGAGATATACTTTGAGCAGGAAAGTCAAAAAAGCTGGAAAAATTATTGATTTTCGATGCACTAGTACTCAATTGGATCTGTCCGTGATTTAGAAAGTCCATTGTGTCGGACTGGGAATATCTAGTAGCCGATAAAAACGACTGCATTGGACTGTTGTTAGGGCTGAAGCATCCAAGAGTTCTGGGTGCTGAACTGGGAATGTTAACGGGAGCAGAACTACCTGTAAAACATTGAATACCCGCATTAGAATAATGTCTGGTTTCAAACAGTCAGCATCATTACCTAGCAAACCTGCCGAAGACAATCCAACTGATATTGAATTGGATACAGTAGGAGAATCATTTTCCAAATCTCTATCTAGTGCTCCTGATAAGTTAAGATCATCCAAATTGAGTTCATCCAAAGCATTTCCTAAGCAATAACCATGCTATAAATCTTTCAACTGTTTCTTTGTCAAAACACACTTACCTACAACACTTTCAACTGTGTCATTACCAGTGAAAAATGAATTTCCCAAGCTGCTATAAGCAAAGCAAAGCGTCTGTTTCCTTTGCTCCCTTTGTATAGGATCTAGAAATAAAGTTGAATAATTGTAAAGTTCGTTGACGGTAAGCTTCAGCTAACATGCCCAAATGTATAAAAACTTTTTAAAAAATTCACAAACTTGAAAATTATTACTTATTCTTACCTAGATTAGGATCTTTTTCAATTTGCAACAATTTATTACTCAGTTCTAGTCCTAGGTTGTTAGGTCTTTGGAAAGGTATACTTTTATGCGTTAATTGTGCCCCTGGGGCTTTATTACTGCTACAACTATTTGAGCCTATTGATGATGTTGAAGACGCCGATTCGCTAACTTCACTACTTCCGTTCTGCAACAACAGAACCTCAGTAAATATATACCTTTACTAAGTAAACTGTATGTGGCTTGCCGGTTTTTTACTAGTTATGGTTATTTCAGGGACTGATACAATCTACTATCACCAATACAATAATAAATATTGTAAACCCATGCAAGGTAATGATTTTGATGCTAATTAAAATGCACAATATACTTACAGAACTTTCACTATTTTTTTCTTTTTTCAGATCTGAAGTATGCGGGGGAAGTACGCTAGATAAAATTTCTACAAGATTTGTGCCTGATGAATCGCCAGTGTCTCTAGACACTCCTAACTCTTCTATAACAATTAAACCATTAAAAGTAGATTAGCATTCAAACTAATAAAGCTAATAAACTTACGTTCTACATGTGCAAATGCGCAAAATACACCCCTTGGGCAATATCCCGATTGCTGAACATCATTGCATTTAGTGCTTTTATAAATTTCCGGATGAAACTGTTGCTCTGTTCTAGTATGACAATATGAACACATATCTCCAGCGTCGCAATTACCGGGTTCTCCCCATTCCTCGCCATGTTTCACATTGGGACAAGGAGTTGATCTATATAAATCCAAATTGTTTTTGCACACGATGCAAGTGAAATACGCCAAATTAACTACCTATATTTAAACTTTCTGGGACTTCTCCTTTTATCCTTGCTATTGTGAAACTGTGGGCACGCATACCCCTGTCTGCATAATCGCGGCGGTCGTTTGCATGGTTCAGTTTTATAATTTGATAATACGAAATTGGTATCTGAAAGGATCATATAAAGTTACATTGATTCATCGAATTTAAGGTTCTAAAACAAATACCTTGCCATTTGGGATCCTCATTCATTAAATTCCTTTCTTTGTCTAAAGCATTAGGTCCATTTGAAGAACAACTACCTTCAGCTTCTGCTGCTTCGAGTGCTTGAATTTCCTTTATATCATAAACTGGCGGTCTGTGATCGTGACTTCCATGTGCAAATGCACAATGAAGCCCATTTTTCACACAATAACCCCTGGAATCGGTGTCATGTACGCACATACATGTTTTATAATATCTTAAGTGATATCGTCTTTCAGTGTCCCCTGCAGTTCTATGTAAATATGGACATCTGGAAGGGATGGAATTTAATTAATTACAATTCTGGTATAGCTTAATGTTGCAATTTTACATCATCCAACAAATATCAATGCGATGTGATTCTACTGCGATTGTTGCGAGGGTGTAATAAATAAACAGGGCTGATTTATTTTTCAAATTAACGCTTTATTTTATATTTAGATTCAGACTTTTTAAATGTTGTCATCGTAGCAACTCTTCGGCCCACGCTCTTCAAGCGCTTCTTTCAGGGGACCAAAGAACTCAAAGTCGCAGAAATCAAAGTCGAGTAAAATTTGTCTAATATCTCACTTGTAACCTTTGCTGAATGAGGGCAGGGCGTTCCGTGATAGAGAATTTGATTTTTTTAACTTATTGCATCTTTTCTTAATGTATCGTATCCACTCCATACTTAGCTGCATTGACTCAGGACTGTATCGGTGTTTCACCACAGGTTACGATTCGATTCAAAAATGCTTCAACCTTTTGTTGAAATCGGTCCAACAAGCACTGACAAATCTCAAACCCGCTCTCAATATATTAAAATAGTCAGTATCAAACAGGCAGTTCTATGGATGTGTTTTTTTATTAAAATAAACACATTCAAGTAGAAAATTATAATAAGCTCAATATTAAAATCCATCAAAAATTACATTACGTAGAAAACAAAGCAAGATTGCTTACGATCCACAAAAATAAATGTAAAGATGTTTATTTCACGACCTTTATTTTATAAACAGTTGCTTAAAACCTACTTTAATGTCTTCAATCTAGAGCAGTCTAATGTTTTCGACATTTTCACTTCTCATACGGCATAGAACAGAACGTTATTTTAATTAGAACAGCAGTATAAGAAAAATGATAAGTTTTGCGGCTGTTTTCTGAAAAACCGCCACTCTAAATACATTTTGCAAATAAAACATTAAAGACTGGGCGGAAACTAATTGGAATCTAGAGATGTAATGAAATTACATATGTACTAGTTATAGCACTTGTTATACCCTGCCGCCAGACAAGAAAATGTTAAGTAGTCCACCATCAGTATATGTAATATTCACATTTATGGATATATTTATCTGACTAAAAATTGACAGTCTAACTTAATAGAAAAGCAAACAATGAATGATAGTCAAGTCAATATTCGTATAAGTTTAAATAAAATGTATAAGTGATAAAAATTCCAACATATTATACTCTACTCTCCACTACAAAAATGTTGCCCCTATGCAGTTGAACAAAAGTTCAAATAATGAATTGTAATAAATGTAATAATTTTTTGAATTACAATACAAAAGTATAAATTGGAATGGTTGTTTTATATTCATAATAAGTTTCATTATATTCATAATAACAAAAATAAACCAAAAGAATCGCCCTAAAGCAAATAATAAAAATGGGTTAGATATACGGCTGAGTGTAATATCTCTAATACGTGCTAGACAAATTTGAGCGGCAATCGTGCTTAGGAGAACACAATATTAAAAAAAACAATCCTATACAATGAGAAATCAATATTATCAAGCGTTTAAAGAAATTTTAACCAATTTTATTAAAAAATCTAGATATAAGTATTACAGTTTAGCATCACACAAATATTGAATTATGTTAAGTAGTATACCTGAGCAGTGGAACAAGCATCCCTATACAATTTTTTTGCAGGAAAATCTAGGCGTAAGTAATAATGCGGACCTTGAGTACAGTCATAATAATTTAAAGAAAATAGTAACTATAAAAAAATCTACGTATTTATGATCAAGACATTTTTTCGAATAAATCATTTTTAAATATTTCGGCAGTTCCAAACAAATCACTATTGATGATGAGAAATAAAACAGTTCTGAAAGTGGAAAATATGGGCCAACTATATTTTCTGGTAATTATTCGTAATGTAATCGATTACAAAGATTTACCTTTAAAATTTGATTCTTCTCTGAACTAACTAAAGCATAGGATAAATAACATTTAGGACAAGTGAATCAAAAATATTAATAAATGCGCACAAAGATGAATCTGTTTCTAAATCATCGTCATTATTAAGGTCAAGATAAAATCTTTTGAGACAAAAGGATCAAATTGAGGAAGCAAAAACCAAAAGCATTCTTCCTTCCAATCAAAATTCATTACATTAATGTGGATATTAAAGAGCAACAACATTTGACTAAAAACAACCACGTAAACTTAAGTAGCTTGAACAGCGAAATGATTATTAAATTAATAAGCTTATGTAATTCCGGAAACGAAAAAATTATGAAATGTCGCGGTAGGTTAGTTTTGTTTTGGTCCTTTGTTTTTATCCATAATGAAAGTTGGGTTAAACATGGACCTGAAATGTCAGAAATACAATTTTGGTGGAGATTTTCGTCTGGTTTAGTGCATAACCACCTGCTACTGATATTTTGAGCGCAAACGATGTTTTGCTGGCGTCAAGTTACATAAGACGGCACAACAAATGGTTAAAAAGCTAAATGCGCCACAAAAATATCGCACCCACCATTGCAGAAGAGTGACAGATTAGCTAACCAAAAAGCTGAACTTACTCGTCTCCGTCTGGACAAATTCCCGTTGTTTCGTCGTATTTTGTGCAGTAATTGTCAGCACTGTAATTAAAAGTGCCATCGCGACGCCTTACAGGTCGTCGGCGTCTCTGGTTCATAAAATGCCAGTGAAAACAGGTGAAAGGACGATGCTGTGTACATTTGTGTTGTAAGAAGAGCGGGCATTGCTCGACGCGAAATTCTTTTAGATATCTAGAAAACAACCACGTATTTCAACATGATAAACAGACATAATTGCACGGGATTGAATACGGAATGCGTCACAACATGAAAAGTGCACTAAAAATACACTTACGAGTAATGATTTGGCTTTTCCGTCTGAGCTGTCAACAAAGGTTTGGACTCTGACGGCATTTTGTTATCACTGGGGCGCAACAATGCGGCGCAGGGCACGCTCACAAACAACGAATCACGACATGTAAACACGATCACGTGCACCAAGGATCATGGGAAATCGACACAATTCAAGGACGCCGTTGTTTTGATGAAAATTTCTTAAAACACCTGCGTTTTCCTTACACTTCCACTAATCCTTCCATTTAATCGTCTTACATTTACTCCTACGTATAAGTATATTGTTTACTGTCCCGAATGCACCGCGTTGCCGACTTTTTCTCGAGTTTCTTAGTAAATCCCAGTTGGATAGACGTAGAAGGGTTAATTTTCTTTGTTTGCTTTTCTATTCATGGGGCTGTAATTCTTGAACGCATCTATCTTAATTGCCGCATGTGGCAGCGTATTCTCGACTTTCCAAGGGCGTGGTCTGAATCTAGGCAATCCTCTTACCACATATTTCATAATATTAATTGATATTTATCAAAAAACTAGTAGGTTTTGACGAACGGAAGAAGGAGGAGCAGGCATTTGTTAAAACCTTTAGCCAGTTTCATAGCCGTAAAATGTAAAAACTACCATTTCCATATTATCTGGTTATATTTAGAATCAAATCAAGTTCAATCCAATAATTACGAACGAATTGATTATAACTAGAAAATTACTGATTATTTTGAAAAACAAATAGGAACTTTAAAATGGGCTTGCTGCTAGCGGGTTAACAATGAAATCTATTTATATATTTATTGTAGAAGTAAACCGATAAAAAGCACTTCTATTTATCAAATTATAATCAACCAATGAAGAAATAGAATTAACATACAAATATTTCAGCTCTACTTTGATAATTAATTAACAGCTTTGGCAGGTATTCAGCAGGTGTCGCTAGCGTGGTGTTGGTTTATCCAGCTGCCAACATGTTTCTTGGCGGTTGTTTCATTTGAGTGAGTATTTCGAGATTCAATCCAGGTAACAATTTTATTAATTACTAAATTTAGAACAGGCATATAGTTAGCTTAGAATCATTTTTATGCGTTGCTTAAATTCGCTATTTATTGAGTAAAATAATTATGTATGTGAATATGTCAGATTCAAAACGCTTTAAGTTGCAGTTTTTGACTTAAAGGTGACATTAATTGATTGCTTAATGTTTCAAAAAGGGAAAGTTTCTATCTAGTCCAGGAGGGTTACAGATTAGACTTGAAACAAAAAATATGTATATTTTTTTCTGTCCTATCTGGACAGTTTCTAGTAAATTATTCTGAATGGTCTGGCCCAACAAATTTTCCATAGTAACATCATCTCCAATGTTGCGTAAAGTGGATGACCAGAATCAACATGTATTTTTTTTAACTTGTTGCGGTAGGCAGACTTTTTGCATCTTGGTAACTTCATATATCAGAACTTTTAACAAATATGGCTCGAAATCATTCTTGTGGGCCTGATGTTGGACTGTGGTAATATATCCGACAAAATGTCCCAGAAACTCAATTGCGTTTCTACTATTAGGATTATTATCATCTCCTCTCTGCGACTCTCGAACTCTGCGAAATTCACCTTGTTATATTCCTTTTCCATGAGCTAACATTCTTCAAAGGATTTGCAGTCGACGACTGGGAATTGTTCACTATGTGCATTATTCTTCGTTCCATTTTGCATCGGTAATTTATTCAAAAAAACTATACTTTTGTATTTTTCGCTTTGTTTGTGTCAAAAACAGTCAAAAAAGTTTACTCCATTTACTCGACTCTATATTACTCTGAAAAATATAAAAAAATTTAAAATAAAAAATAAAAAATATACTATTTCCGAGCGATACCAATAGTTACCTAAGTTACGTCACGTTAGAACCATATTTGAAAGGTTTCGTCGTAATTCGGTTCCTATACTTTGAGTATAAAACATACCTTTTATAGTTTTATATTCAATGCTGATCTTACATCTCGTCAAATATTTGAAAAAGTGTTATTCGAAAGCAGAGAGAAAATATACAGGGGTGGCCATTTTATGAACCTTTGTATGGGTAACTTCTACATTTTTAAAGATAGAGAATCCGTTAAATTAGCAAAATTGAGCGGAATTCGAGTGCCTATTCATTACCGTTTTCAAAATTTAGGTAAAGAAATCAGCACTTTTTTAATTATCAAATAACTCGTAAACTGCTTAAATTAGAAAAAAAGTAAAATTGTCTTTGGTAGAACTTTTTGCGTTGAATCCAATAAACTAGCCCTCGTTATCATAGTCAATTTGATTTACGAGATAAAAAATAAACTTATGGTTTTTTAAATGGTATTCATAGTTGGCTGTGGGCCTTTTAAAATCCTTATTTTTTTCTGAATTGAACGATACAACTGTTTGTTGGTTTTTCTTCTTTTGTTGGCGTAAAACTTCAAAAGAAGATGAAAAATGTGTAGTAGGCTATGGAAACAAGGACTATATTATCACACAAAGCACAAAACAATAATGAAACGTTTAAATTAAATGTTCAAATAGACCCCCGTTTACGTACAGGCATTTTTTGGCGAAAATAATAAAGATGGTCTAGTGCAGTGGTCGGCAAACTTATTAGCCAAAGATCCAAATATGAACATTATCACAATAAAAAAAATGCGAGCCAAATCTGCTTATTTACTAAACTTTTATTATTACACTTAAATAAAACTAAATTTCATACTCAATAAATATTTATTAATGCGAACAATGTACATCTCCTTGGAAAGTAGGAGTTAGTCAGATTTGTTGTTTTTGATTTTAAGCATGATTCCAAGTTCTCACCAATAAGACAACTTCTCAATTTACTCCTGATAATGTTCATGCTTGAAAAAGATTGTTCGCATATGTATGTATGTCGCCGAAATATTTAAGTTTTTCAAGATTTCCGATACCAAACCAAGTTTGCAAACGGTGTTTCGAGATCTTCAGTTGTCCACTGTTGTCATTTCCCAACTTTTGCGAAATTTACAATAGTGTCCATAGTGATTGACCTATATTCTTCGAACTAACGCCTTGTTTTGCACAATTGCAATTTGAATGTTGAGTATTTCGTTTCATTAATCGTGCTTATACATTTTTGTCATTTATATACTCAATGTTGATTCTCCTGTAATTTGGATGTCCAACTATCCTTCCATCTTTTCGGTGGTCTTCCGATGGGTCTTTCACCAGCTGGATTTCCATTCGACACAATCTTGGCTATTCTTTCGGGGTCCATTCTTTCAACATGGTCCAGTCAGCATCTTCTGCGCTTTCGTATATTCAAAACTCAATATACTACAATAAATGTTTTTTGTAGACAGTTTTAGATTCCTATTTTACAATTGAATAGATACCTAGAAAAACAAATTTCTGTATGTACAGAAGTTTCTGATTATTTGATATTAATCAATTATAAGGACATTTTTCTGTTGAGTGACAATTATTTATTTATTGGCTTACAGCCACTTATAATAGGACGACAAAACTCTCTGCCGTGCATTCTGCATATTTTGCTGTATGATATTTTTCAAATGCTTGTCAATTTGATGGAAATAGACTAATAATTAATTTTTTGCCAATTATTTAGAAATTACTTTTTATACACATGCTCAGAAATAACAAAAAAAAAACGGTAACAAAATGTTCTCACCAACACTGTATAAAGTAACAGAACAAAGAAATAATTCTTCCTTTTAACTGGTCGTCATCGTTGGTTGGTTCTTACCTTTATACTTCCCACGGCTTCTCAGACTAAACTTCCAACTCACTTGTATTCTAAAATTTTGTTAAATTATCTTTAGTCAGATTATCAGCCATTTATTAAGAGTATTCTGGAGAAACCTCGGATGTTCCCACTTATAAAGTTGTCATTGAAAACTTTTCGGAAACTTTACGATTTGTAATAAAGATCTTTTACTAAGACTATTCGACGTTTCTCATAGCAAATCTTTCAATTGTTCAAAATTAAACTTATAAAAGGAATGTTATACATGAATTATTATTTTTGTAATATTTTCAAAGACTATCTACTAATAATTACGGATGTGACATAAAGTTGCTTGAAAAAAACAATTTTCCACAGCGAGATTGATTAAATCGATTTAATCTTCCTTCATCTGCAAATGACACGATTTTTGGAAGTTTAAATGTTTTGAAACTGTTTTGTTCCATATTTAGATCCATATATCAATTTTCACGCAAATACGAGTGGATCAATTTATCTTGTGAGATCTAAACGCAACTCTATGCTGATTTGCGAACAGAAATTGAAACTGCAGCTGTAAGCAGGCTATAAACTATTGAAAATTAACTTTTATGATCATAAAGCTTTCTTGCTCAGAGTGTTAAGCTTATAGAAATCTTCACTATATGAGCGTCTCCGGTGAACTGAAAGATTATAAAAATGGCTACTACTTCCGTATCAATATGTTGGACAAGTCAAGTTTGTATTGGAAAAAAATACATCAAAAATATACAGGGAATTATTGCCATAGAACGAAACACAACGGGTCGCGACGCTTGCGTCCGCCCATCGTGCAGCTCAGCTCCCGAAGCTGACCACGTTTCAGTTATCGCTGGATCGGCTACGGCTCTTCACGACTCCGTAACTGAGTTTGTCTGTAGAATCTCAGTTAGCTGAAGCTGGTTTACAGGTGTCCGCGCTTAGGCGATGGACACAAGTGAATCGAGAGCACGAGCGTTAGTTATCTAGTTGGAGTGAATGAGCATGGATTAATAAATATTGTCTGGACTAATTCGATTATTATTACATGCCGTTTGTGATAGTCAGGTGGGTGATTTGGTCCAATTAATAAAGATTATGTAATTTAAGGTTTTAACAACTGAATGTAATTGAGAAAACAGGCTTACTTGCGCTATCGGTCAACTTGAAGGTTTATATTTTTTATGTGTGTAAGTCATTAAAGAAGTAGCAGGAATTTTTGTTAATTCAAAACTTAACGTTTTATAACGTGATAATCTTTTGAGAACTCTACTTATTAAATGACAATGTTTACAACAGCATGTATGTATCGATAGTTTTTTTCTTTGCTGTCTATTTCAATTTCAGTTTGTTCTCAATTGTAGTTTTGTTGGTAATACATTGACCATCATTCTCCAATAATTCAAACAGTACTGGATTAACTGATTATCAATATGAGGCCTGGTTTTGATAATTGCTATTGCATTGTTTAAACTGCAGTTTTTTAAACTTGATACTCTAACATTGCTCTTACCTAATTTTGATTTTCAAATTTCCATTATTTACATGGTAGAAATGAAAATGTTTCACTCCCACCAGAGAAAACCATTGAAAGAATGGGTTGGAACTATGTATTTTATATCATCAATCAAATCAATATTTTCATCCAAAATTTCGTATCAGCATCCACAAGGTTTTAAAAGATATTAAACTAAAAAGCTGACCCAAATGAAACATTAAGTTAATCTTCTTTTGTCGATTTGATAGCAAATATTCAACACATTTTTCCATTGGACAAAAGCAAAATACTTGGGAAAAATATTGTTTATTAGTTAGTAGTAAGTAGCATGTTCAAACATCGGGTAGTCTTTAAATTCCGCTCACATCGGTTTAGAGCTTTCCGATATAGATTAGGTTACGATGTAGAGATATTCAAATACCATCTTTATTATTCTATGGGGTGTTGTAACCTGCTTTCACATTGAGAAGAATCGCAGAGTTTTGAGGAAATGTTCATAAAAATGTCTTTTGTTGAATAGGTGAAATCGAAAAATGCATCACTTTGCAAAGAGCATGTTTTTTTAAATATTATCGCCATTTGCAGCCAAAACTAATGATTCTAAATAAACATTCGTTAATGCATTCAAATTTTCATTTGCTTTTTAAATTTTATTAAACGTACTTATGGCGAGTATTGAACTTTTGGCGCATCCTTCTTTCTGTTTTAGAATAATAATCCCATTAGATATTTTAACACCCTCCATACTATCAGAAGATTGCCGTGTAAATCACCCGAAAACACCTCCAGTCTTCCTGAAAATTTATCACAAAAAGAGTATAACCGGAATGATTTAATGGCTTTGTTGATAAGCTTTTGTATCACGTCAGATTGAGTCATGCGTTCTAAAAAGGAAGCGAAAAAGTCGAATTAAGCTGCCATGAAATTTTAATATCATTGCCCGAATCCCGCAATTGGGAAATAAAGGAAAACTGTCGGCTGACAGATATCCAGGTTTTGACTGTTTAAACATTTCCTGAATTAAATCGCTAATTGATGCAGGTTTTACAAATTTATTTTCGAAGCTGACTATTCAACTAGAAATAGGTAGTTTCATTAGTTCAATTTTATATGTGTTTAAATTATTTTATAATCTGACTATATGCAGATGATTATCATCACAGTTTATTTTATTACATTTTTCTTTTTAGTGGATATTGTTGGCTGATAGTTCTTTAGCTGCTTTAATGCAATATGAATTAATGCTATATGAATAAACCAGACGAGCAAGGAGAAGTATTGAGTGCACTATTAATATGGATAAAAATATAATATTTGTCAGTATTCTTTTGAAGAAAATGCATGACGTAGAAAACGACTTGAACTAAGCCGTAAATGCTCAGAACATTTGATTAAAAAATGCCAAACTAGTTTATTATTATTTAGTTTAAGTCCCCTTTTTTTACTTGCATTGATTTTTTTATACATTTATATAATATTTATACATTATTCCGAAATATCGAATATCCACTTTTACCATACAGAGATGGAAGCTATCCCAGTCCCAAAAGGGAATTTAATATGAGGCTCCAAAAATGGGATTCGAGGCTGCCTAGTTGACCCTAACAAAGTTTTATTACCCCTGCTGGATCTAAAGCTAGGGCTGATGGAACAATTCCGGAAAGCTTTCGACCAAAGTGTTGGTTGTTTCAAGTAAAATCGAATGACATACTTCCTGTCTGCGGAAGTTAACTACACAATGGTTTCGTTTTTCGCTCCTCTTCCCTTTGACTCATTCAGTAAAAACCAGATTTAAAACTTTTAAAATGTTATGTCCGTGTTTCTTCTAATCTACACTTATATTTCAAAACCTTAACAGTGCGGAATTAACATTTTTTCGTTTTAAAATAAGAAGACAATTCGCTTTTAAAGCCAACACAACATTTTTTATATTCGTTTTAAAACGACCTATTTTATGTCGTCTGAAACATTGTTTTTAATGAACTAACTTGATTTAATAAACCGTCTTTTATAGTCGACTGAATATTCTGCTGCCATAAATTGCATTATTTTTCATGTTCTTTTTTCTCTCTGTCTGCTAATTAGATAAAGCTTTGAGAGCCGAATTTTGTAGAGTGTTTCTAGTTGTTAATTTCCGTCGATTTTTAAGGTGCTCAAGTTATAGAACATGATTGAAATTTTCTGAATTTTTATAGTTCAGCGATTTATTTGTGGAATGAGACAGAAGATAAGCTTTACAACTAAAGTGAAACTCGACAATGTTTCAGATTCCTTTAATATTTTAAATAATACAGTCGATTTCTGAAAATTCTTGGAAGACCTTTCTTTGAGTGTCGTCTAATCATACTAATATGTTTTCTTTAACCGAATTATTTTCTTCCTATTTTATTTGCTTTTGTTGTCGATGTTTACAACAACGTGTAGATGTTACATGTTTGATATTCCAAGCAATTTTCTTATGAAGGAAATCTACTTATATTTATTTGCTTTGGTTGAATAGCTGTTTGGAAAATATATCCATTTGTAGTCCATTCATTGGATTCTAGGAAAGCGTATTATTCTACAAAACCGCTCTCTACGGGGATTTAGGATAGAATGAGTTTTCCTTTTGAAATGAAAGCGACAGTTCTTTTCCAAAATCGGACAAAGACCTTTTCGTCTCTGCTAATGGGAAGTTAAAATCGTTCGATCTGTCAAACGTGAAACAAAAGTATGTTAAAGAACAAGTAAGATAACGAAAGTTTATTAAACTCAGACCGATTACAACCCCCACAATAATTAATTATTTATTACATTTTAATACTTTGCTGCATCATTTCTATATCAGTTTAATTATCTCGTATTGAAACATAATCTTGCGATTGAATCAGTTCCCTTAAAATCGAACATTTCCTTGGTTTTAATTTCTTTCATTTTTAAGATTTCTTTGTTTTCTAAATTCTATTCTCTATCTATTTCTCTTCTCTATCTATCTCTCTATTCTATATCTATTTATCTCTATATCGATTTTTTCATCTCCCTATATTTCATATTTTTATATATTTATCATTTTCTTTTACTCTTCCCTAGATTAATATCTGCACCGTCTTAGGGAAATGGCTTAATTTTAACTGCTATATTCCAGCAATCCATAGAACTTTTGGTCGCTTATTTTCACAAACTATAATTGAATTTAACTCGAGGCAAGGCTCTTTAAATACTCCATAGACATTATTCATTGTCTCGCAGCATTTTCGTAAAAATGTAAGTAATTTAATTCGTTAATTTTTCCATAGATCATTTTTATAAAATTACTGAGGATTTTGCTCGTAAAGAAAAGTTGCTAACGACCAGATTTCGCTCATCGGTTTTACGTCGCGGCTCTGGCTTTTAAACTTTCTATTCTTTATAGCACAGTTATCTAATTAGTCAATGATTCCATATTCTTTATTAGTTATTAATTTATGGGGTAATTGATTATCAAGTAGTTAGTATCATTCACGTCGTATAAAATTAATGCAAGTGCATTATTTAGTATCTACATTAATTACGTCTAAATCTAAACTATATTTTTACAATGCACTTTTAAAATCTGAGATAAAACTGGCGTAAAAGCTGCCTTATTGATAGTTAGAACGCCTTTGAAATACGAATGAAATACTTTAGTGTACTGATATTTTCGAATCTAGTAAAAATAGGTGATTGTTTGTACGTTCTGGTCGATATTTTTCGTGAAAATGTAACAAAGAGTTGATTACCATTTATTGTTTGCATTTCTTGTTTGCATTGCATGTTTGACTTTGAAAATGTTGCAAACCTTAATCGCACGCAAAACATTAGAAACAATAATAAATATTGATATTTAGAACACACACACAGAAAACTTTGCTTGCCAATTTATTTTACTTGCGAACGATTGTTTTCGGAAGCGGGAAAAAATAAATTGATTGAAATCCCAGCAAGCTTTTCAGACTATTTCGCAAAATCTAGTTTTATAAATTAACAAATAAAACGTAACGTTATACTTTGATGTTTATTCGTAGTAGGTCTTAGCTCTGACTTACATTGGATTGCCCTCAAAGCCTGAGTTAATAACAACTCATTTGAAGCTGACGGGTTGCAGGAGTGTCCTTAATCGACGTTATTTTCTCAATTCCTCTTTTCTATCCGTTTTCCGATAAAGTTTTTTCATATAAATGCCGTCCAAAAAGCGAACTAAAGCTCACAGGAAATAAATTTCAACAAACGTGACATTTGTGGAAAACAACCACCCGAGGCTCATTGGAGGTTTTCCTGTTTACGTTTCATATGACTTTAGGAAAATTAAATGCAAAAGAGCAATCAGGAAGTAAATTGCCAGGTTTTCTTCGCTAGAATCCGTGCAATATTTTCTAATTTTTGAAACAACAATTTTTTTTTAATTTAAATTTTTTTTTAACAATTTAATATTTCTGCCACCTCTATCATCAGGTGACAGAATGTTCTTACATGTTTATTAAACTTGAAGTTTTGCGAGATTACATGTCGATTTTCATATAGGTAACGCAAACACAACATTTTTTGCTATGTTGTTTATTAAATGAGCGAATCA